CATGGAGCAGGGAACTGGCACTACATAGAAATTAAGGGTATAATCTTTTGCCACTTGCTGGCTGGGTGACTTTGGGCAAATCACTTAAACACTGAGGCACACATTTTTATGCTCTATAAAATGAGAGTAATAAAACACCTGCTTTATAGGAAAGCTTTGGGAATTTAGTTAGATTTTCCACATTAAGAATATTTAGCCAGCCCTGGCTGGTTTGGCTCAGTGGATAGAGTGTCAGCCTGCAGACTGAAGGTCCCAGGTTCGAATCCAGTCAAGGGCACATGCCCGGGTTGCAGGCTTGATCCCCAGTAGGGGATGTGCAGGAGGCAGCCAATCAATGATTCTCTCTCATCATTGATGTTTCTGTCTCTCTCTCCCTCTCCTTTCCTCTCTGAAATCAATAAAAATATATTTTTTTAAAAAGAATATTTAGCCATAAATTACCACAACTATCTACTGTGAGCTGAAAGAATGTTATCTGTGATAATAATAATAATAACAGTTATTAATAGCTATGAGAGCTGTTGTTATTATCATCTACCCCTGTGTGTTTTGTCCTTGGAGTCAGAGATTTCCACCTTGTCAGGTAAGAACCTGAGGCAAAGAGCCAGACGTGGCTTTCCTTTGCCACATGCCAAGAGTCGCTCCCAAGAGCCTCATGCTCTCAGCCCATCTGATTGCACTTGTATCTTGGATGCTCCTCTGTTGCTCTCTGCCCATATTCCTCAGGAGGACTGATAGAGTTGGCTAGAAATATAGCCTTTGCCTTCTGGCTTATTACACAGGATTTTCTGCAAAGAGGTGTGTCAAGCCCCTCATGTCTCATTACAAGCTTTTGTTGGCTCCCTTCACTATATGTGTGCTCTCTGTGGTTTTTACTTTAGCCTGTACTCCAGGGGGAAAAAAAGAAGTTCTATGGTGCCAAGAACAAAGATTCTGAGAGGTAGCTGGAGCACAGGGATGTCAAAGGTGTAAAACAATGTGGTAATTCTTCTCTAGGGCCTGTGTGTTATAGCATAATCCTCCTCTTGAAAAACAAGTGCAAGAGAATGTCTCCTGGAGGTTCCATGAGGCCTTAACAATCTTAAGGGAAAAGCTGATCCTAAGGCAAAGGTGCAGATTTCCACAGACAATCAAACACTGTGTTGACAATGGTCAGGCTGGGACATGGTAGAGGCCTTCTCTCATTGCAGAGCAGCACTTATTCCCTTGCCACACCTTTCTGCCAAGAACTTGTCACCACATTTTCTATCCTCCAAGAGATTTATCTGACAGTTTGGACACACGTATTACTTGGAATGCATATTTTTTTTCAGTATTGACCCACTTTTCTGTAATCCAACAATATTTATTGAATGAATACTTGTTATACGTTAGACTCTTCACTAAAAGCTTTGCATCTCTTATTGCATTTAATCCTAAAATACTATGTGATTATTAACATTATTCCCATTTACAGATGAGAAAACTGAGACTTCACAAAGGTAAATGATTTATCAAGGAATATAGTAATTGAGAAGTGAAGATGAGAAGTCTGTTAATAATAGTCTCCAACTCTAAGCTTTTAAAAAGCAGCAACTCATAATTTATTTTCTATAAGTATGTGACTAAATATGCAAACATGCATAAGACATGCACTGAGTGACTTCTTATTAAAAATAATTTCTTTTTCTTATAAATAACAAAATATATATATACAGGGTGGGCAAAAGTAGGGCAACAGTTGTGAGTACACAAAACACAGGGTTTATTATTGTATTACTAGAGGCCTGGTGCACGAATACATGCACGAGTGGGGTCCCTTGGCCTGGCTGGTGATCAGGACCAATCAGGGCCATCTCTCCCAGTCCTGATCAAGGCTAGCCAGATGGAGGGAGGGACCACGGGAGGTTGGCTGTGGGAGCACACTGACCACCAGGGGGCAGCTCCTGCATTGAGCGTCTGGCCCTGGTGGTAAATGCATGTCATAGCTACTGGCTGGTCATCTGGTCATCCAGTCCCCTGGTTGTAACAGTTGCTTAGGCTTTTATATATATGAATTATTTATCAATTATTGTATGATTTTCCATATGAACTGTAACCTTACTTTTGCCCCACCCTGTATATAAATATTATATTTATTATATTATATTATATTATATTATATTATATTATATTATATTAATTATGTTATACTAGAGGCCCAGTGCATGAATTCATACACGGTTGGGGTCCCTCGGGTTGGCCAGCAATTGGGGCTGATCAGGGCCATCTCGCCCAATCCAGGGGTTGGGGAGGGACCATGGGAGGTTGGCTGGCCAGCTGGGGGGAGGGACTGTGGGAGGTTGGCTGGCTAGTCGCAGGAGGTTGGCTGTGGGAGCACATTGACCACCAGGAACAGCTCCTGCATTGAGCACCTTCCTTCTGGTGGTCAGTGCGTGTCATCGTGACCAGTCATAATGGTCGCTTAGGCTTTTATATATATAGGTTATATTATATTATATTATATTATATTATATTATATTATATTATATTATAATCTCAAATAGAAAGTTTCAAGTCAGAAGCCCAGGATCCCAGTTCTGGTTCTTCCATCAATGTAGAAAAGTCACTAAACTTCCCCTGACCATCTTAATTTGAAAATACATAGTTGTATTAGGTCAGTAGTTACCAAATGTTGGCCTGTGATGAACTTCATCAGTCTGAGGTGAAATGAGAAAAATAAGAACAATGGATATATTTACATAAATTTGCTTATTTTATAAATCTGTTAACGTGGCTATTTTTTAATAAACAATGGTGATTTTTTTCCTTTGACATCCTTACCTGGCAAAATTCAAGTATGTCCTCCATAGCAGGACCCGACATTAAAAGCACGTATGTATTTTTACTGGTTCATAAACCCAAAGGCCAGGGGACACTAAACTACATGATCACTAGTGTACTTTCTAGCTTCAAAATTCTACCCTGTTCTTAGATCACAAATGATATTTAGCTGACTCTAAAGTAGAAAAGAAGAAAAAGTGTTATCCCCTTTTTCCTTATTTATTTCAGCATTTCCCCAAATGTGCTCTGCTGAAAGACAGCCCCTAGCAAGATATTATAGCTATTCCACCAGAAAAGCATTCTTAGTTAAATGAGTTTGGGAAACAATAGGTTAAGCAAGTTGGACAGGTTTCAGCTCCTGTAAAATTCTTATGTTTATTGTGACCCCCCAAAAGGAGACAAAGCATGAGTGCTCCCCAAGTTACTGATGGAGAGCAGATGCTCCCCAGCCCCATTTTGAGGACAGTGCACCTATTCCTGAAATACAATTTGAGAAAGACAACTTCAGTTAAAGCTAAAAGAAAGTTTCTTCGTAGCTTTCATAATAAAGAAAAATATAGTATTACAGGCAAGGAGACTCCCACTTACTTTATAATATTACCAAAACTATGGATATTTTCAAAAATTACAAAAGAAGCCTGGATAAAAATACTTCAGATTAAAGTGCATTGGGACTAAAGAAGAGTTTTGTGGCTGTTTTGATCATTTTTTTACCATAACATATTTAAAAAATTATGTCAACAGATTTATATCCAGTGATTACAACATGATAATTAAAGCACTTGGAATTTGCAGAAATCTGCAGTAACAAATTGTGACTGTCATCCCTGCACAGTGAAAAAAAGGTAAAATAAAACCAAGGTAAAAATTGAGCCTGAGAAAACCCCTGGATTCCTCTCAAATGGTGTGACCTTATTAAATATTTCAGCAGCAGGAACAATTAACTCTGAATGTTTATGCTGTGGCTCATAGTTAATTTATTGCAACACTTCTATGATCAAAAAACAAAATTCTTGATAGAAGATAAAAATCTAATAGTGTGTACTTGTTTTTCTTTTTCTTTGTATAATTATCCGGAGTTAAACTTTGCCTTTTTCTTTACGCTTTATGTGATTGTGTTAAATATCAACTACCCAAACCCTTTAGCCTTCACAATTCTAGATTCAACTTTCACTCAACACACTGAGGAGAGAACAACTGTCACTTGAGACAAACTATCCCCTAGGAAGGATCTTTCGGATGTTCTGACACTAACAACCTTGCCTTCTGACTCCATGCCCAGCAGGGTTTTGACAAGCCTGTGGCTCTGCATTACCTCCACTATTTTCCATTGTGACTGTATGTAAGTTTCAGCCTGTTTTCCTAATCCTGCTGACTAAAGCAGTCTGTCACCATAAAAAGCCTCTCAGACCTGGAGTTGGCTTCGGAAAGTGCCTTTGCAAAGGAACAAAAAAAGTACATGTAACGTTTACGTTTAAAGGCAGGAGAGAGGAAAGCCCTTGTTTTCATGCCGCTGGGCTCAAACGATTGTTTTTAGGGTTTAACTTTCAAAATATTAATTTGCTTCTGGTGACATTTGTAAACAAAATACCAATGCTAAAATGAGAGCACTTTAGCCAGGAAAGGGGGGAGTGTCCTGTCCAGAAGATCAAAACTCATCCAAACTCCATTGGAGAAGCGTGTCTATGAATTAACACATGGCCGATGTGCCCCGCCTCGGGTCCTCAAACCTCCGAGCGAACAGGTGTGCGGGAGGTTTACGCCAAAGATTCAGGTTTCCGAATTAGCTGCTTTAAAACCTTAAGACAGTAACGGCTTAGTCTCTGGGAAGGGGGATAAAACACCAAAAACTCTTTTTAACAGACGACAATGCTCATCTATATAATTTGATTCCACATACAAATACTGTAGTTTGACACGATACCACGCAAGCTCCCGTGAACATCTGCTAAACCTAATAAGAAGTTGGATTTCATTTTTGTAATAAAGAGATCCAACTGAAAAGTAAATAACAGAGGGAAAAAAAGTAAAAGTTTAAGTAACTCCTTCACACATTTGAACTTAGACTGTCCACCCTATAAAATGCTACCCCCCCACACACCCCCAAATGGAAAAGCAGATCACACTTAACGTCAACATTTCAAAACTAGTATCGCTTAAAAATTATTGTTAAAACACAACACATCGGAGCTACTTGCCTTTTGGCAATTTCTGTGCATTTCCCAGGGCTAGTGCAAAACTTCCACAGAGAAGGAGACACCCCAAGCTGGACAGCATGTTGCATTTGCCACCTCACACGGGGAGTGATGCTGGTGGGTGTCCCGCCACCCTGGAGCTGCATTTAAGTGGACTGTCTCCCGGTGACAGGCGGGCGGCTGCACTTAGCCGAGCCGTGGGCTTACTCACAGGGGGTGGAGACAGCATGACATCACACCCTTTCTCACACCAAAAAAAAGAAAGGCACAACAGCAAAAACATATCATAACATTTCCTGCTAGGTTATAACTGTCTGTCTCTTGCTCCTGTGATATAAACATCAAACTTAGGTTCAATCTGTGTTTGCGAAAGAAAAAGTATTTAGTCAGTTTTGAAACATTGGTTGAGCTATCTTTAAAAATCCAAAAAAGACATACTTAAAACCATTGGAACGTTAAAAATATAAAATAAAACCTTATTAGGAAGGAAACTGTTTTTAATTATCCAGTACACCAATCCAATTCTTCTTTTAAATGGGAGTAAACTCATAAAAATGCACTTTTAACCATTCTGAAGTCCCAGTATTATAAGAAACGTTTAAAAGTGAATACTTGGCTACACAGCTATTCATTACACACACACACACACACACACACACACACACACACACACACACACACAGATATACCTACTGATAGTCTCTAGATATAGATGCAGAGATATAGTGAATTCATTGTCACTGATTGTCCACAGTTCTGGTCCATGTTGTGTAATAGTATCTTTGCCCACATTATTGTAATTTAATCCTCACAGTGGCTGTACAGGAAGTATGATATCACCACTTTATCAGTGAGAAAACCTGAAGCTTAGACAGTTAAATGTCCTGACAGTGTATTCTAATGGTTAATAATTTGGATGGGCTTTGCAATAGAACTGACCAGAGTTTAAATGTGTATGCCATATGCCTTTGAACAAATTGCTCCATCTCTAGCTCATCAACTTTGCTTACATTTAAGTGCTTGCTTCATGCCAGGTGCTGATATGATCAGTTCGCATATATTAAAACATTTACTCCTCAAAATAACCTACAAGCAGCCAGTGTCATCATCTCTACTTTACAGGTGACAAATACTGGGCATAGAGAGGATAAGTGGCAGGCACAAGGTCACAACTAGTAAGCAACAGAGCTGGCATTTTAATCAGGCAATTTAGCCCCAGAGCTTGCACTCGTAATTACTAAACTTTAAATTCTAAAGTAGAGATGATAGTACCGAGTTCATACATTTGCTAGCAGGATTTTGGGATAGTGTTTACCATAGTAGCTGACCCACAGAAAGCATTTAATAAATAACAGTCACTGAAAACAGCAAAAATATTTTCCCCACGTAAGTAGAACTATATTCTAACTGGGTGCTTCTATCTCCAACGCTCATGTGTGTCCACTCTGGTCCTACTTCACATTTCCATGAATATAGGCCTTGCTGGAATGGCTGCATTAATAAAGTGCTTTAAGTGTTGTCTGTACATTCATATTGCCTCTGAAAATAGGCTATTTCATGGGATTGCTGTAGCTGAGGGAAGCGGACTAACTCTGGTCAAATGAGATTCCAGTCAATACACTTCCCAAAGAGAAACTGAAGAGACAGCCCTGTCTGTCTTCCGCATAAAGTGTGAGGAGGCGCATTGTTAAAGTCATTAGAGCTGGCGCGGTCTCAGCTTTCACCCTAGGAATGCTCTGGCCCTGGTTACTGAGGGGATCTGGTTATTTACCAGGTCTTTTCATCTCTAATGTTTTACTCGACTAGGCAGCTCTCTCGAACCCGAGCTCGGACATTCATCCAGCTGGCACCGCTGATTCCGCCTCTATATGCCATTGCCAGGGAGGCCTCTGTGCCAGCAGAAACGACAGGTTCCTGAGGGGAAAAAATAACCGAGCAAAAATATTGAGAAGAAGGCTGTGTGTGGGGCTGGTCCGCGGGTTAGGTAATGGAATTACGGGATCAGTCTCCGCTTGGCCTGTAGGCTGCTTGAGCAATCATTATTTGCAGTTTGAAACTGTCTGGGAGCTAATTGAATAAAGGCTGATCTCCGATTATTTTGTCCGGAAAAGGTGATTTATTGCCTTAACTAGTAGGACACTGAGCAGTCAGTGAAGACACTGGCAGACTTCCTCTCCAAAGACCAGGGAGGGGCACCTCATAAAGAAGCAGACCATGTTAGAGGAGACATTTCACTTCTCAATGAACGAAAAGTTTCCCATCATGTCAGAGTCCTAACCCAAGCGGGAGGTGGACAAATAGTCCCGAGGAACTGTAAGCGCCTTGCTACATGGAATAAAACTTCAGAGCTGTGGGCATGTGATCATTAGAGGATTTAAGGCCATTTTCAAGGAAGAATTACCCTCTGACCATGGGTACCTTGGAGATGATGGCTCTGGACTAATCCGTGCATCCCTGTGAGGTCTCTCAGCTGTCATGAGAGAAGGCCAATACGAAGCCCTGGTTGTGTCTATATTTATCTGAAAATATAGAAATCTAAAGCTCCATTAGTTGTGAGATTGTAGAATATTGTATTCACCAATATCTGTGAAAAACCTAGTTTTACTAGGTTTAAAGTTGAACCTAGTTCAGCTCCATAGAATGCACAACACTGAGAGTGAACTATATGTAAAATATAGACTCTGGATGATAACAATGTGTCAATTTAGGCTCATCAATTGTACCAAATGTACCACTCTGATGGGGATGTTGGTATGGGGAGGGTGGAGGGTATATGATGTTATCTCTAAATGTGTGGGGTCAAGGAGTAGGTATATGGGAAATCTCTACCTTCTGCTGTGAACCTAAAACTGCTGTTAAAAGAAAATTATAAAAAAAATATTGTTGAGAACATTTAGGAATAACTGCTGGAAAAACACATAAAATATATGTGCGTTGTCTTTATCCTGTGAAGGCAGGAACCACGTCTGTTTTTGCTTATCACTGTACCCAGTGCATATAATGAGAATGCAGTAAGTACGATGAGTAAGTATCAAATGAAGCAAAATTCATCAATTCTTCCAGATAGTCTGAAGGTTAGCTCTGAATCAAACCAGAGAGAACTAGAGTATGACTGGATTGATAGTTGTTGGGAGACAAGTCAAGGGTCCCTCCCATTTCTGCACATCTTATGAGAAGAGGCACTGATTCCCTGTGTTCCAGGCTTGTTTTTCAATAATATTTGGCTCTGACTGGTGTGGCTCAGTTGGTCATTCAGTGCTACCAAAAGGTTGCTGGTTTGATTCCTGGTCAGGGCACATCCCTATGTTGCTGACTCAATCCCCAGTGCAGGGTGTGCAGGAGGCAGCCAATGGATGTTTCACTCTCACATCAGTGTTTCTCTCTCTCTCTCTCTCTCTCTCTCTCTCTCTCTCTCTCTCTCTCTCTCTCTCCCTTCTTCTCTCTGCAAAAGTCAATAAAAAATATTTTAGCTCAGCCAGGTATGGCTCAGTGGTTGAGCATAGACACAGGGACCAAGAGGTCACCCGTTCCATTCCTGGTCAGGTATATGGGAAATCTCTACCTTCTGCTGTGAACCTAAAACTGCTGTTAAAAGAAAATTATAAAAAAATACTGTTGAGGCTCATTCCCAGTAGGGAGCGCACAGGAGGCAGCTGATGATTCTCTCTCATCATTGATGTTTCTCTCTCTCCCTCTCCCTTCCTCTCTGAAATCAATAAAACATATATTTTTTTTAATATTTTTTAAAATTTAAACAAAAAGAATATCTGTATAGCAAACAGCTTTGGAAAATAGAAGTTTGTTTACTGCCCTATGTAATAAAGGCAGTGTTTCCCTCTGGAGTCAAGGGAACACATGCTCACTTCCTATTATCAACGATTCAGGTTTCCTAAGGACAGGGCTCCTGTTCTATAATATAACCCATGGCGTGTGTAGGTGTCACCTCTACCTCCTTGTGCTTCCCTATGGGGCACTGGGACACCTAGAACTGGCACAAATGCGGATATGCAGGCTACTGCTATTGCTCTGAATAAATAAACAGTCCTCTTTGTCTTTGACTCAGGAGTTTTGTGTCTCCTGCCAGCATCCATGTACTGTGCGTGTTAGCTTGCACGTACAGTAAAATATCAACCCTTCATAGTTCTTGACAATAAGATTGGCTCATTCCAAAATATTTTATTAGATAATCTTTGGTATAATGCCATCACCCACATTGAAATCCACTATAAGAATCAACCATGAAAGTCTATTGTGCAAAGGAAGAGTGCTGCTAGACATTGCTTATGAAACCGTATAGTATCCTCTTTGTAAAAACCGTGGAGAAGAAACTTTAACTCTTCTTTACGTGAAAAACTATTGTAATTTTTCTGAGCAACTGTATTTATGTCGTGACATCGTAACCAGGTTTCTTGTTCTGCATTGACTGCTAGAAAACCAGAGCCAAACGTGTTCCCGGCCCACACTAAGTGTATAGACATGATGCATGTCTTGGAATCATGCCTGGTTTTATTTTCCATCTCCACCCTTATTTCTTGCTTACTTGGAGTCTTAATTTATGTGATTTTATAAGTTGCTTTTATTTTTTTTTCTGGAATAAGGTTAGGGATAAACAAACTCCACACACAGGAGTTGCATCAAAAATATGCGTCAAACTAAAAAGCTCCTGCACAGCAAAATAAACCATCAACAAAACGAAAAGGGAACCCACTGTATGGGAGAACATATTTGCCAATGATACATCTGATAAGGGGTTAATTTCCAAAATATATAAATAATTTATACAACTCAACACCAGGAAGATAATCCAATTTAAAAACAGGCAAAGGATCTGAATAGACACTTCTCCAAAGAGGACATACAGATGGCCAATAGATTTATGAAAAGATGTTCAATGTAACTAATCAACAGAGAGATGCAAATTAAAACCACAATGAGCTACCACCTCATACTTGCCAGAAGGGCTATCACCAATAAATCAACAAACAACAAGTGCTGGCAAAGATGTGGAAAAAGGGGAACTCCTGTACACCGTTGGTGGAAATGCAGACTGGTGCAGCCACTGTGGAAAATAGTATGGAGGTTCCTTAAAAAATTAAAAATGGAACTTCCATTTGACCCAGCGATCCCTCTTCTGGAAATATGTCCTAAGAAACCAAAAACACCAATTTGA